GGTGAAGGGTAAATTCATATCCTTTGCCCATTTTTTAATTGGATTATTTGTCTTTTTATTGCTATCGTGTTGCAGTATCTTACAGATTTTACAGAACCAATTTTTGGTCTTGTTGATTCTTTCTATTGTTTTTCTGTTCTCTATTTCATCCTGCTATGATCTTTATTATTTCCTTTCTTCTGGTGACTCTGGGCTAATTTTCTCCTCTCTTTCTATTTGTTCGAGTTGTAGGGCTAACATTTTGATGTTGATCCTTTCTTCTTTTTGAAGTCAAGTTGATTGATTGTGGCCTTTAGATATTCTGTATCTTTGTTGGTTTTTTTTTTTCTAGATGTTCTGTCCTTTACCAATAGTGGTGTGTTGAAAGTCTTCTACTATTATTGTGGAACTGTCTATTTCTTTTTTCAGTGCTGTCAGAGTGTGTTTTATGTATTTAGGAGTCCTGTCGTTGGGTGCATAGATATTTATTAAGGTTATGTCTTCTTGGTGAATTGCCCCTTTAATCATTATGGAATGTCTTTCCTTGCCTTTTGTGATGACTTTTGCCTTACAGTCTATTTTATCTGAGATTAGTATTGCCACTTCTGCTCTTTTTTGGTTGCAGTTTGCTTGATATATTTTTTCCTTTCTTTTATTTTTAATATATTTACATATTTGTGTCTAAGGTGTGTCTCTTGTAGACAGCATAATGATGGGTCATGCTTTTTTATCCATTCTGTCACTCTCCGCCTCTTTACGGGTGCATTTAAGCCTTTTACATTCACTGTGATCATAGATAGCTGTGAATTTATTGCTGTCATTTCGTTGTGCTTTTTTTGTGGTGCTGATGTTTTCTTTGTTCCTCTTACTTTCCTGAGTTTCTTTGGTTTGTTGAATTTCTTTCATTATTATAGATTTTGTGTTTATTGAGTCTTTATGTTTTTCTTCTTTTTTATTTTGAAGAGTAGATTTGATAACTATCCTTGTGGTTACATTGAAATTTACACTAATCTTCCTACTTTTAAATCAGTCATTTATTACTTGATATTGCCTTCATTTCTTCTCCATTTGAAAGTTCTATTCCTACACCATTTATTCCCCTTTTTTTGTTTTGACATTATCATCATTTACAGGTTGATGTCTCTAGTTCTCATTTTAAAATATTTTAGTTTTATTATTGAGAGTTCTTTACCTAGGCTGGTGTCTGGCTGATGCTGTCCTTTGTCCTAGCCTCAGGTTGTTATATGCCATTGTTGGTTCTCTAACCTAAGGACTCCCATTAATATTTCTTATAAATTTGGTTTTTTTGTTTGTTTGTTTGTTTGTTTTTTACAAATTCCCTTAATTTATGTTTATCTGGAAATTTCCTAATTTTACCCCTTGTATTTAAGAGAGAGTTTTGCAGGATATATTATTCTTGGCTGGCAATTTTTTTCTTTCAAGGTTTTATATATGTCATCCGATTGCCTTCTTGCCTGCATAGTTTCTGCCTAGTAATCAGAGTTTAGTCTTATTGTTTTCCCTTTATAAGCGACTTTTCATTTTTCTTGAGCTGCTCTCAGAACTCTTTCTTTGTCTTTGGTTTTGGTAAGTGTGATTATGATATGTCTTGGTAATTTTCTTTAAGCGTCTATCCTATATGCGGTTCCTTGAGCTTCCTGGATGGTCAGCTTTTTGTCTTTCATGATATTGGGAAGTTTTCTTCCAGCAAATCTTCAACAATCCTGTCTGTGTTTTCCATTTTCTCCCCCTCTACTGGAACTCTTATCACGTGCAACCTTTTCTCTTGATTGTGTCCCTCATAATTCTTAGCTTTTCTTCATTCTTTTCTCTGATTTATCTTCAAACAAAATCACATCCATGGATTTGTCTTCAATCTCGCTGATTCTGTCTTCCATTGTTTCAAATTTGCTCCTAAAACCTTCTATTGAGTTTTCCATTTCTGAAACTTTGTTATTTTTCTTTTGGATTTCTAGTTGCTGTTTTTGCATGATTTCTAATTGTTTGTTTATTTTGAAGTTTTGTGCTTGTATTATTTTCCTGACTTCTTTTATTGCTTTGTCAGTGTTTTCCTTGATTTTGGCTTTTGTGTGTGTGTGTGTGTGTGTGTGTGTGTGTATTTTCCATGATTTTGTCTGTATTTTCCTTGGTCTCTTTCTTTATCACTTGGAGAGCCCTAATATTAGTCTTTTGAATTTCATATCACGTAGTTCCACTGCCTTTTCTTCTACCAGAAGGTCATCTGATTATTTATTTTGGTAACTTTTTGGCACCATCTTGTCCTGCTTTTTTATATGTTTTGATGTTGTCTCCTGTCTCTAAGACATTCAGGTACTGTTTTCTTTATTTATTGATTGTACGTTTATTTGTTTTATCCTGCTTATTTGTTTTGTTTTGATATGTCTGGGCAGGTGGGCCGGACTTGCTTTGTTACTTGCTCATCTGTGGGCACAATAGCTCTCACTACCTTGTACAGATAGGCAGGGAAGATTGCTTAGCTGCGATGCAGTGGAGTGAGGCTGGTGGTTAGGTAGGGCGTGGAGCCAGGATGCTCAGCTATGGGGCATCTGTACAGGACTGGTGAGAAGGGAGGGGCCAGGGCTGTGTCATTTGGCTGCAGCATAGCGGGGCAGAGCAGGTGGGGGAGAAGGGTGTGGAGTCAGGTTTTACGGTTGTGGCTCAGTGGTTCAGAGTTGGCAGGGAGAGAGGGGCACAGGTATAGAAAATCAGCTGCAGGGCAGTGGGTCAGAGCCAGCGGGGAAGGAATTGTACAGCCAGGGCACTCATCTGTGGGGCAGTGTGGCAGGAGGGGCATGGGTATGGGTAGCCCAGCTGTGGCTCAGGGGAGCAGAGCCAGTGGACAGGGAGGGGGCATAGGCAGGGTCCATTAGCTGCAGTGAAGGGGGGTGAAGTAGGTGGGGAGTGAGTGGCATGGGTTGGGGTACTCAGCTGTGGGATGTGGGTAGAGCCAGCAGGGAGGGAGTGGCACAGCCAGGGTGCTCTGCTGTGGGGCAGCAGAGCAGACCCAGCAGGAAGGGAGGGGGCGTGGGCACGGTTGCCTGGCTATAGTGAAGCCGGGTGAAGCCGGTTGGGAGTGAGGGGCATGGGTAACCCTATGTACAACAGAAATGAAATACTGCCTGGTCCTGCACCATCTTCACAATCATTGCTATGTTTCAGCCCATTGTTGCAGCCACTGTGTCAATCTATCTCATTGACGGTCATCCTCTTTTTTGCTGACCTTCTACTTTACCAAGCGTGATGTCCTTCTCCAGGGACTGGTCCCTCCTGATAACATGTCCAAAGTTCAGGAGACAAAGTCTCACCATCCTCACTTCTATGGAGTGTTCTGGCTGTATTTCTTCCAAGACAGATTTGTTCATTCTTCTTGCAGTTCATTGTATATTCAATATTCTTCACCAACACCATAATTCAAATATATCAATTCTTCTTCAGTCTTCCTTATTCAATGTCCAGTTTTTCAGTTTTTGCATGCATGTGAGGCAATTGAAAATAGCATCGCTTAGGTCAGGCACACATTAGTCCTCTCTCTCTCTCTCTCTATATATATATATACATATATATATAGAGAGAGAGAGAGAGAGAGATGAAACCAAAAATCAAATCCATTGCCATCAAGTCGATTCCAATTCACAGCAACACTATAGGACAGAGTAACAGAGTAGAACTGCCCCATAGGGTTTCCAAGGATCACCTGGTGGACTCAAACTGCCGACCTTTTGGTTAGCAGCCAAACTCTTAACCACTATGCCACCAGGGTTTACAGATACATAGATAGATAGACAGACAGACAGATAGATATCATGTTGTCTGTTTTGTTAGAGATAGAGATATTAAAATGGTAATAGTGGAAGTAGAGGTAGATATGGATTCCCAAATTCCTGTCAATAATTCAGGAATCCTCAAGGCTCTACAGCACACAGTGGGGAACAACTGGTCAAAGGATTCTCTGGTATCTAGCCATGGCTGGATAAAACCTCTCATGGCTTGGGAGGTGGAGCTCCAAGTATCTGGTCAGTATTGTAAGAAACTCGATGAAGACATACATTTCATCCAAGAACCAGGAATCTTGGGCTCTTAGTTGTCATGCAGTCTCTACGTTATTTTACCTCCTTGAGCCTCAGTTTCATCATGTATAAAATGAGGAGGCATGACCTGGAGGTTTCAAAGATGCTTCCTGCTCTAACTTCCAGGACTCTACACTTAGTTTGTCAGCTGCACTATCTCTATGTAGCAGGTCAAGCAGGGTTTCAGGGTGCTAAAAAACTAAACAAAACCTCCAGAAAAGGAGGCTTAAACTCCTTCCCTGGTACCCAAAAGTGTGAAGAACTGAAAAGTACTTGAGAATATTGTCCACAGAAAATAAGCAGTTTTTTTGAGAAGTATAATCCTATATGTTGTTGTTGTTAGGTGTTGTTGAGTCAATTTTTGTCTCATAGAGACCCCATGTGATAGAGTAGAATTGCCACCATAGAGTTTTTAGGCTGTAATCTTTATGCGAGCAGATTGCCAGGTGTTTTCTCCCACAGAGAAAATGGGTGAGTTTAAACTACCAACTTTTCAGTTAGCAGCCGAGTGCATAACCATTGCACCACCAGGGCTCCTTTTATAATACTATATAAGAAGCATCAGATACTTTTTTGGCTTGGAATGGGTTACAAGCATATACTACATACCTTGTCTTGTAGCCTCTCACTAGCAGTCAGGAGAACCAGCCCCTGGCAAAGACATCAGTCATTTAACTGAAAACCTAGGGGTAGCACATGCCACAACTTAACTAATAAAGGGAGTTATAATGATGAGAATCTTCCACTTTAAAAAGTTTTAGAAATGGGACTTGTATGCATGTGAATTTATAGGTTGATTTTCCTTAAGGAAGGCAGGCAGATGAAGCAGATGTTTCCTAGTATCACATTTGAGTCTGTGACTCAGACTGACTTGGAAAATTCTACCCCCAAGAAGTATTTGATATGCATTGTATATTTCCATTTCAGGGCTAGAAGTCTCTACAGGCATGGCCAGACTCTACATCTTGCACTTTATCCTGCTGGGTGCTTTGATTGACAAGAGCCAAGCCTGCTTCTGTGATCATTACCCATGGACTCAGTGGTCCAGCTGCTCAAAAACCTGCAATTCTGGAATCCAGAGAAGACAGAGGTGGGTGTGAGCTATGAAGCTTTTCTTTGTGTCCTGGAAGAGCTCAAGTACTTGGTTAGTAATATCAGAAGTGCCATCTAGGCAATTAAAGAAGAATATATCTCAAAGTTAGAAGTCATGAATTTGGATGGAATTTGAGTCTACTTTGCCCTCTCCTCAAAAATGATGGATTTCAAAAAAATATTAAGAATCTGTGCAAGATTTGCATTTGACTATTTAACTTACTTAGAATCACTACTCAAGCTTTTTTTTTTATCAGCACATAGCTCTGCTTGCATACACTTTAGTGAGTTAATTATAGAGAATTTTCTACTCATTAAAGCACGTCTAACAGGACCTCAATTGAGCAGCACTGTTAGCTATTAGCTTGATTGTTGGCATGTACAAGAAGGCAAGCAAACTGTGTTTACTTGATAGCAGTTAATAATTCAGTCTTTTCACTAATTCAGACTACTCATTCTCCATAGTGTCTTCTATACCATGGAGATGCTCACATGACATAGGGCAGAAAGGCATACATTTAATGTGTTTTGAATAACACTTTTTAGACACTTATTTTAGAAAACAATTTTTAAATCCCCTACGTGTTTGTCAGTTTGTCGTACTGTGGTGGTTTGCATGTTGCTGTGATGCTGGAAGCTATGCCACTGATATTTCAAATACCAGTGGTGTCATCCATAGTGAGCAGGTGAACAGCTGACATTCCAGACTAAAACAGATTAGGAAGAAGGACCTGGCAGTCTTCTACAGAAAAAAATTAGCCAGTGAAAACCTTATGAATAGCAGTGAAATGTCTGATATAGTGCCAGATGATCTCCTCAAGTTGAAAGGCACTCCAAATGCAACTGAGTAAGAGTTGTCTACTCAAAGTAAAGTCGACCTTAATGATGTGAGTGGAATCAAGCTTTCATGACCTTCATTTACTGATGTGGCACGACTTAAAATGGGAAGAAACAGTTGCAAACATCCACTGAGAATAGAAATGGAATGTATGCAGTATGAATCTAGGAAAGTTGAAAATAGTCAAAAAAGAAATGGAATGTATAAAGATCGATATCTTGCATCAGTGAGATGAAATGAGCTGGTATTGGCCATTTTAAATCAGAAAATCATATGGTCTACTATGCTGGAATGACAAACTGAAGAGGAATGGTGTTGCATTCATCGTCAAAAAGAACATTTCAAGATCTATTCTGAAGTACAATGCTGTCAGTGATAGGATAACATCCAGACACCTACAAGAATGACCAATTAATACAACTATTATTTATATTTATGCACCAATCACTAAGGCCAAAGATGAAGAAATTGAAGATTTTTACCAACTTCTGTAGTCTGAAATTGATCAAAGATGCAATCAAGATGCATTGATAATTACTGGTGATTGGAATGTGGAAGTTGGAAACAAAGAAGAAGGAATAGTTGTTGGAAAATATGGCTTCGGTGATAGAAACAATGCCAGAGATCACATGATAGAATTCTGCAAGATCAATGACTTCTTCATTACAAATACCTTTTTTTCAACAACACAAACGGTGACTATACACGTGGACCTCACCAGATGGAACACACAGAAATCAAGTCGACTACATCTGTGGAAAGAGATGATGAAAATGCTCCATATGATCAGTTAGAACAAGGCCAGGGGCCAACTGCCGACATACCATCAATTGCTCGTAGGAAAGTTCAAGCTGAAGCTGAAGAAAATTAGAACAAGTCCATGAGAGTCAAAGTACTATCTTGAATATATCCCACCTGAATTTAGAGACCATCTCAAGAATAGATTTGATGCATTCAACACTAATGACTGAAGATCAGACAAGTTGTGGAATGACATCAAGGATATCTTACATGAAGATGTACAGGAAGAAAGAAAAGAGCAAAATGGATGTCAGAAGAGACTCTGAAACTTGCTCTTGAACATAGAGCAGCTAAAGTGAAACAAAGAAATGATGAAGCAAAAGAGCTGAACAGAAGATTTCAAAGGGCGTATCAAGAAGCCAAAGTAAAGTACTTTAATGACTTGTGCAAAGACCTGAAGATAGAAAACCAAAAGGGAAGAACACACTCCGCATTTCTCAAGCTGAAAGAACTGAAGAAAAAAGTCAAGCCTCGGGTCGAAATTTTGAAAGATTCTACTGGGAAAATATTAAATGACACAGGAATCATCAAAAGAAGATGGAAGGAATACACAGGGTCACTGTACCAAAAAGAATTGGTTGACATTCAGCGATTTCAGGAGGTAGCATATGATCAAGAACCAATGGTACTGAAGGAAGAACTCCAAGCTGCACTGAGTGCATTAGTGAAAATAAAAGCTCCAGGAATTGACAGAATACCAACTAAGATATTTCAACAAATGGATGCAGCACTGGAAGTGCTCACTCATCTGTGCCAAGAAATTTGGAAGACAGCTACCTGGCCAACCAACTGGAAGAGATCCATATTTGTGCCCATTCCAAAGAAAGGTAATCCAACAGAATGTGGAAATTATCAAACAATATCATTAATATAACACACAAATAAAATTTTGCTAAAAATCATTCAAAAGCGATTGTAGAGGTACATTGACACGGAACTTCCAGAAATTGAAGCTGAATTCAGAAGAGGATGTGGAACAAGGGATACCAGTTGCTGATGTCAGATAGATCTTGGCTAAAAGCAGAGAAAACCAGAAAGATGTTTGCCTGTGTTTTATTTACTATGCAAAGGCATTCGATTGTGTGAATCATAACAAATTATGGATAACATTGTGAAGAATGGGAATTCCAGAACACTTACTTGTGCTCAAGGGGAACCTGTACATAGACCAAGAGGCAGTCGTTCAAACAGAACAAGGGAATACTGCGTAGTTTAAAATCATAAAAGGTTTGTATCAAGGTTGTATCCTTTCACTAAATCAAAAAAAACCTGTTGCCGTCAAGTTGATTTGGACTCATAGTGACCCTATGGGACACAGTAGAATCACCCCACAGAGTTTCCCAGGAGCACCTGGTGGTTTCAAACTGCTGTAGCACTTAACCACTACACCACTAGGGTTTCCATCCTTTCACTATACTTATTCAATCTGTATACTGAGCAAATAATCCGAGAAGCTGGGCTATATGAAGAAGAACAGGGCATCAGGATTGAAGGAGGACTGATTAACAACCTGTGATATGTGGATGACTCAGCCTTGCTTGCTGAAAGTGAGGAAGACTTGAAGCACTTACTGATGAAGATCAAAGACTACAACCTTCAGTATGGATTGCACCCCAACATAGAGAAAGCAAAAATCTTCACAACTGGACCAATAAGCAACATCATGATAAACAGAGAAAGTCTGCTGCGAAGGACCTCTTTAAAGTGTTAAAAAGCAAAGACATGATTTTAAGAACTAAGATTCACATGACCCAAGGTGCACCTGACCCAAACCATGGTGTTTTCAATCACCATATGCATGCGAAAGCTAGACAATGAATAAGGAAGACTAAAGAAGAACTGGTGCCTTTGAATGGTGGTGTTGGTGAAGAATATTGAATATACATACCATGGACTGCCAAAAGAACGAACAAGTCTGTCCTGGAACAAGTACAGCCAGAATTCTCCTTAGAAACAAGGATGGCGAGACTTCATCTTCCATACTTTGGACATGTTATCAAGAAGGACCTGTCCCTGGAGAAGGACATCATGCTTGGTAAAGCAGACAGTCAGTGAAAAAGAGATAGACCCTCAAGGAGATGGATTAACACAGTGGCTGCAACAGCGGGCTCAAGCATAACAAAGATGTGAGGATAGCCCATGACTGGGTGGTGTTTCATTCTGTTGTACATAGGGTCACTATGAGTCAGAATTGACTCCACAGCACCTAACAACAATAACATTTTTACATATGTAGTGTGAGTCTCATTAAAATCTCCAATTGACTTCCCCAATAAGCCATGCACTAAGCATGTGAAAACAGATCTGTTTATATAACCTCCCTACTTAAGAAACCTTCAGTAGTGCTCTTGTTGTTGTTAGCTGATGTCCATGGTGATCCCATGCAGGATGAAATGAAACACTACCCTGTCCTGCACCATCCCCATGATTGGTTAGGGATTGGACAGTTTTCAGTTGTGATCCATAGGTTTTCACTGGTTGATTTTCAGAAGTAAATCACCAGGCAGTTCTTCATAGTCCATCTTAGTCTTGAAACACTGATGAAACGTTTTCAGCATCATAGCAACATACAAGCCACCAGTGACAGACAGCCACGTGGAAGGCAGGAATTCTACTACTGAACCACCAATGTCCTCTACTGACTGCCAAACAAAGTACAACGTATCCTGTCCTCCTCAATCAAGCATTTGACAGGCCCGTCCCACAACCTCCAACCTGGACATGTTATGCTCTCTTCCACCTCTAATCTTTCCACATGCTGTTCCCTCAAGACATCTTTCCCTATGTTATCTAGAGAATTCACACTAATTTTTCAAGATGTAGCTCTCATGTCACTTAATCTTTGAGTCTGGCCCCATAGCTCCCTGGCCCTCTCTCAGTATTGCACTTATCACATTGTGTTGTCATTTTTTAAGCAATTCACAGTAACTTTCTTTGATTTCTTTCTTTTCTTTCCCTTCCAGTCCACTGCAGGACTTCCATCAGGGTCAGCTCAATGAGTGTGTGACTTGTGCAGTCATTTAAAAGAGTTCCATGCCTGACTTGATGTTTAATACTTAATGCTCTACCATTGCTGTCTTGAAATTCTTAATTTTTTAACAAGAGGCTCTGCGCTTTCACTTTGTACTGGGCCCCGCACATTATGCAGCCAGTCTTGAGTTCCAATAAATGACAAGAACAGCACATATGCCAACCTGTCGGACTTTCCATGAAAACCTTCTTCCCTTTTATTCATGGTAGTTAATGTTCAATGATATCTTTCTTATCCGACTAGAGCCACAGTGAATGCACTATTTCTAAGCAGATTTTTCTCACTATTGCAGACAAGTAGTAGTGGACCAGTACTACTTGGATAACTTTTGTGACCAGTTTTGCAAGCCGGAGACCAGAGAATGTAACGTGCAAACATGTCCTATTAACTGCCTCCTGGGAGACTATGGGCGGTGGTCAGAATGTGACCCTTGTGTTGAAAGACAGGTAGGTGACTGATAGGCATATCCAAGAAATCTGAATCTGAATAAAATATTCTGATTCCCTGATAGGCTCAACAATCACAGAAATGTTGAATTTCTTTTATTTCTGAAAATAAACTGCCCCACTTTCCACTGAGGGAAAATTTCACCATTTAGTAATGTTAGAGTGAGAAGGATATTTCATTTGACATGTTTTGCTATCATGTGAACTCCAAAAAGAAATTCTGCCTCCAGAATTGTACTTGCCCAGCTCTGAGAGCTCCAAGAGCAAAAGCAGTAGCTAGAAAATAAAAATTTTGGTCCAAGATTTAAAATCAGACAGAAATAAGGGAAGTAAAGTAAAAGCTTGAACTCCTTGTCCTTCCTCTAAGTTCCCTCTCCCTGTGAGAAAGTCCATCGATTTGTTTACTGTTCCTAGATGCAATATTTACCCACCTCCAGCTCATTCCTGTAAGGGTGTTGGCCCATGTGAACCCCCGGCAGGCCTCATGCTGAGCATTCACACATTAGGTAAGAAAAATAAACTCATTTTTCGGAGCACTTATTGTATGTGAGAAACTATTCTAGGCCCCTCACATATTGTTGTTGTTGTTAGCTGCTGTTGAGTTTGTCCCTGACTCATGAGGATCCCGTGCACAACAGAGTGAAACCTTGCCTGTCCTGCTTCATCCCCATGATTTGTGGTGGATCAAACCATTGTGATCCATAGAGTTTTCTTCGGCTGATTTTTGGAAGTAGATCTCCAGGCCTTTCTTCCTAGTCTGTCTTAGTACGGAAGATCTGCTGAAACCTGTTCAGCATCACAGCAACACACAAGCCTCCACTGACAGAGAGGTGGTGGCTGTGCATGTGGTGCATTGGCCAGGAATCAAACCCAGGTCTCCTGCATGGAAGATGACAATTCTACCACCGAACCACTGCCACCCCCATAGGCCCCTTACATATATCGCCTTATTCAGTCTTCTTATCAGACTGTATATTTCTATTCATTTTATAGATAATAGATAAGGAAGTTATAGCTCACAGGGGGTTAAGCAATTTGCCCCAGCATACACCACTAATTAATGGAGAAGCCACATTTTGATCTTGGGTTTTTCTGACTTCGAAATCATTACTCTTCAGTCCTTCAGAGTTCTAGCTTTCCTTCACTCTTAATTTGACTATTTGCCATTTGAAATTTTTTGAAGTATGGAGAATATGTCAACCTTGGTTTCCGTGGTTACTTCCTTGTACAAAAGGACCTCAAAAATCCATTCACATTTATCATTCCACACTATCTTTGAGATACAGAAGGACTATTGTTATTGTCTAGAAAAATTTACGGCACTCAGGACCCACAGTAAATATTTGTGCATTGATTTTTATTTAATTTAGAATCATGTCATTTCAGAGTTACAAGAGACCTTAGGAATCTTTTCACCTCCCTTCCTCATTTTACAGGTTGGGAAACTGAGGCCTAGACAGGTAGTGACTTCACTAAGGATGCACAATAATCGAATTGGAAGAACTGTTAGTAAAATTTATGTCACACCAACACTGGGATTAAAAAGCCCAGTTATGATCAAAAAGGAGACAATGCAGAACAGAATTTCAAATTCCCATGGAATCCATATTTTTGGAGCCATAGTGGCTGGATGAACGCCCAAAACTATTGCCCTGAGATAATCTTTAAACTTTAAACCAAAAATATCCCCTGAAGTCTTCTTAAAATAATAGTTCAGCTTAACTAGTAGAGACTGTCTGCCTTCAGCATTGTGTTCTTTTAAGAACTATCTATATGGGATCAAACTGACAACAGCAACTAAAAAGATTAGATGGGAAACTTAGGGGGCAGTCAGTTTATGTTAATGGTGGAGGAATAATTTGGAAAAGGAGAGTGAGAATGGTTGCACAACTCAAAGAATGTAATCAATGTCACCAAATTGTACATGTAGAAATTGTTGAATCTGGGTATGCTCTGCTGTGTATATTCTCAACAGTAACAACAAAAAATAAAACAAATGATAAGAAAAAAAGCCCAGTTTTCTGACCCTACTTCAGAGTTACTCACATTTCTCTTTTTTCCTTTCAGTTTAAGTCTAGATCTATCTTGCGCCCCAGTCAATTTGGGGGACAACCATGTACTGAACCCCTGGTGACCTTTCAACCATGCATTCCATCCAAGCTCTGCAAAATTGAAGAGGTTGACTGCAAGAATAAATTCCGCTGTGACAGTGGTAATGTACTTTTGTAAAATGTTCAGTCTTTACCAAAAATAACTTGACTAAACCAAAGTTATTCCAACTATCGGTAAAAGCCATGACAGAGAAGTCCCAGAGTGTTTTAAAGCATGGAGGTGGATAGAAGAGTTATGGTACCAAGCCCCAAGCTACATATGTCATTACATGTGTGAAAGTGCAGCTTTCAAGTTATAATCATCTTGAACACTTACCTGATCCTTTTGCTTATCAAGTAGTGGTGGTGCCCAGGTCCTTATACTGTTATAAAGGAAGAAGAAGAGAGAAGAGGTGGAGTAAAAAGAGCAGTAGGTAGATATTTTTAAAAATCAGCTATTAATAAGCACAAATGTCTATAGTCAGAATAAGCAAATGAAAAGAAGTAATATATTTAAAAGGTCTTCAATATAGTTTATTAATACAAAAATATTAATAGTATGACATTGTGTCAGTAGATGACTAGAGAGGATATGGCAAATTTTGTGGATGGTCCCTGAACTAGCTACAAAGGTAATTCCAAAAGAGGAGTTCAAAAATGATTTAAAGGAGGGCAACATGACCTTCAAGTCTAATACCCATTCAGATGCGTAAATTCTGGCATCCAAATTTCATTAAATCGTAATCAAATCTTGAATATACTACTTAATCATGTGTATTCTCTTGCTAATTTGTAGTTCTCCAATGTTCACAGTTTTGAACAGTGTAGGCCAGATTTCCGTAAACTTTTTCTGTAAAGGTCCAGATAGCAAATCTGTAAAGGTTTTACAGATCATATGGTCTCTGTTGCAACTATTCAACTCTGATTTTGTAGCTCTAAATTAGCCATAGGTAATATATAAACCAAAAAGCATGGCTGTGTCCCAATAAAATTTTATTTACAAAATTAGGCAGCAGGTCATTGTAGACCCACAAGCTGTAGTTCTCTGACCTCTGGTCTAAACAATCATTTTGAAGTCAAAACAAACTTACAGTTCAGATGACTAAAACCCACTTCATTTCCATGTGATGTGAAACACACTGAAAAGTAAAGTACTTCCAACTAGATAGCAGATTTCACATTCCATAGATAATTGACCCAAGAACTTGGATCGAAATTTTTGGCCTCTTTCCTCCTTGCTTCCTGATTTCTGCTTTGTCAATCTTTTCTGGATGTCAGACAGGAATCCTGGTGTCACAATTGCCCCTCTGTGCCCCTCTGTGCCCCTCAAACCCAGGATAAGTGTGGGTAGGAAGATATACATCATGCCTGTATGAGTAAGATCATGTCACATATTGAAAGAAGAGGAAATATGAGCACAATCTTGACGGCAATGAATGAGAGGAATACAGGCCAGAGCATTACATCCAAACTATTAAAATCAATATTTAGAAACTGAAGTGTGACTATGTGAAGCTTGAGAAATGGTTTTTAGAACAAACAACCAGGAAGGACTCCTCTAGTCAACAGATTATAAACTGATGAAGTTTATTACCAAGAGAGCTTTGTTTAGGCCAAGAATATTCACAAATTTGAGAAGACTTTAGGTAAATCCATGGGTTGCTGATTCATAATACACTATTTCAGGAAAGTTATGTGTCAGCACAGGTGATTTCCAGTTCATCAGCAACGTGCCCATTTAAAAAAAAAAATTTCTATCTAGTCATTTCCGACTCATGGCAACCCCTTGTGTGTCAGAGTAGAACTGTGCTCCATGGCATCTTCAATGGCTGATTTCTCAGAAGTAGATCACCAGGTCTTTCTTCTGAGGTGCCTGTGGGTGAACTTGAACTGAAAACCTTTGGGTTAGCAGCTGAGCACATTGACTTTTTATAGTACCCCGGGACTCCAATATGTCCATAGCTATTGCTAGAACACTGACCTACTGAAATGCATCTGTAATGGTTGGTAAACAACTGCTAGCCTGACCTTTCTGAGTAACCCCTGTCCGGCTGCCTACACGGCTTCACCAGGAATAGATAGATTTCCTCATGATCCAGCCACTAATGGGTTAACTCCTAGCACAGTTGTGGTTGGCATCCATTCTGATTAGGTGGTATCATGGAAAACCGGTTGCTAAATATTGCATTAAAGATAACGTACTACTTTGCTCTCCTAAAAACATCCACTAACGCCACTCTCAAAAGGGATAGGAGGTTGCCTGGACCACTACTGTCTGACTTAGGAAGAAATCTGGCCTTCAATTAACAGAGCACTGTCTAACATAAAGAAGCCCTGGTGGCACAGTGGTTAAAAAGCTTTGCTGCTTAGCGAAAGGTCGGTGGTTCAAAACCACCAACTGCTCCACCGGAGAAAGATGTGGCAGTCTTCTCCTGTAAAGATTACAGCCTTGGAAACCCTGTGGGACAGTTCTACTCTATCCTATAGGGCCACTATGAGTTGGAATCAACTTGATAGTAATGAGTTTGGTTTGGGTCTATTCTAAACGGATTTATCCTCTTCCCTTTCCTCCCTCACAATTACTGTTCAGAGTCCCCCGCACGTCCCCAAGACTTAATGTATTATTTTAATGTACCCATGGGTTTTTGGGAATTACCCCTGAGCTAATCCCCAGGCACTGTGCTAACTCCTTTCTCAAAGTCCTAATTTTAAGCATAGAAGACTATGGAATTTGCAAGTGGTTATAAAAATAGTATGCCCATTTCGGTAACACAAATTAGTTTAAACTGATAGGAAAAACACGAGCTATTATTTCTAAAGGATCACATAGCTTCAGGTCTAAGCATGTGTATGCTTGTGCTGACTAAAGCGTGTTGACTTCTGCAAATCCTGCACTATCCAAACTTCTCCTTACCTTTCATATTCCTTCTTTAGTATAAGATATACTTATGACTTACATTATTTCTCCCCATGAGCCTTCCTATTTCATTGAGTTTCCATGGCCTAGAACATTCTCAGTTGTGTCCCATCAGGCCTATGTCATTCCTGAAATCCATTGCTAAATATCATTCAAGAGATTTCCTCTTCCCTTTATCCCTACTCTTGCTAATAGGCCCTCTCCAATATCCCTAGAAGTATTAAATGTGTAGAATTTCTCATATTCTAACATATTCAATACCCTGCTCACAGAATTGTGCCGTGCACGTGTAATAACTCCTACTCTGTCTCATAAAATGTGATGTTTATTCTTTTATTTTCAAATGTAACCATATCAAACATTAGCTTTTGTATCAATTTGCAAGTGTCAGGTTTAAAGCCTTTTAAAAGTGTAACATATGTTCATGTTTTAGAAAAAACTTCTCTATTTCAAACTAACTTGACTTGAGTAAGGGCATCACTTGTGTGACTCAAGGTATACCCCACCCTAATACTACCTCACAGAGGTTTTAGGATTTATAACACATAAAATGGAGGAGAGTTACATAATATTACAAAATGGAAGATGATTACATCAGATCACAAAATGGAGGACAATTATGCAATACTAGGAATCATGGTCTAGCCAAGTTGACACATACTATTGCGGAACACAATTCAATCCATGAAAATTACTCATTCTATTCTGCCCTAAAATATACAAACAAAAAACTACAGAGATGTTCTGTTTGAAAAACAGAGCATTCTTCAAGTTATATCTTGGGATTGACAGAAATTCAATCCCATCTATCTATATTTTCAGTCTTGTATGATAATGGTGCTCATAATTATAATTCTTTATAATAATAATTCAGAAGCAATGCAAGATTTTGAATAATCAAAGGAAGACTTAATTATGTTCATTATATTCTACTTTCTTAGTAAAGAGTGTTACCCAAAAGAGTTGAAGCTAAGTGCTTTCTGGGGAACATTTTATTAATCAAAAATTTTAATTAATCAGAATACCCAATTTCCCCATTTTAGTTAGTCAAAATAGTTTTGCATAGCTATAGTGAGATGGTTGTCACAACTTAAAATAGTCAACTGGATGGTCTTGAGTAAAGCATTTAATCATTGTTGTGTTATACCCATACATAATGGTACAGATGCCAGGATCCCTGATTACAGGCAATAGTGTGAGAGGCAGGGGAGAGGAAATCTCTTATTGCATATAAGGCATTTCAATTTCTGTGATATATAGGTGCACACTGATTTCTGGAATTCTTACAAAATTCAACAAATCAAAAAGGAAAGGGAAATGTCTGAGTCCTTGCAGTTTGTACCACTTTTTCTATATTCTCTCACTCAATTTGCTACCTAATACTGTAGAGTCTAGGTATATACCTTGTCCAAAAAATAATTAAATATATTAGTAGTATATATCTGGATATATATATAGAGAGAGAGAGAGAGTAAAATATTTAGTAATTATGTATATTAAAATAATTATATATAATAAAATAAATGTATAATTTGATTTTGACAAATGTATGCACCCGTATAAACAACCCTCAATCAAAATATAGAATATTTCCATAAACTCAGAAAGTTCCTTCCTTCCTCTTTTCAGTCATTCCCGTCCTTGTTCTTGAACTTCATATAAAGGAGTCATATGGCAATGCTCTAAGGTGTCTGACTTCTTTTGTTCAATGTGATAATTTTGAGATTCATCCATGTTGTTATGTGTATCAGTTGATATGTGTGTGTATGCATGTGTAAAATTATAGTTTCTTAAATAAAAACAGTGACCTTGAGTCTGCCATCCTATATCAAATTCTGAACCTACTGTTAATTTTCTCACATATAACATCATCTTGATCTCTGCAGTAAGTTTACTGTAATAGGAATGGGATTCTAGAATTAATTCTCCTTTTTAAGACAATCAGCCCAGTAGTGACTAAATAATTCTATGGTGACTCTTTAATTCTAAAAAGAAAGAAAGAAAAATAGTAGCACTTTGCGACTTCATTTCCATATGTTCCTAAATTTTTATCAAAAATAGTGAAAACGTTCCTTCAGGTTTACCTAGATATTTAAAGCATCTGTATTGCAAATGTATAAATCCTTTGTTAAGTGATAATTTGTTGTTGATGTTTTTGCTTTTCCTGACTAGGCCGCTGCATTGCCAGCAAGTTAGAATGCAATGGAGAAAATGACTGTGGAGACAATTCAGATGAAAGGGACTGTGGGAGAACAAAGGTCGTCTGCCCACGGAAGTATTATCCCATCCCTAGTGTGCAGCTAATGGGCACAGGGTAGGTAATTTTATTTATTATTTTTGGGAGGAAAGGCATCTCAAAACTAATGAGTTAGAAGCAGTGAGCAAAATGCAATGATACAAGTCATTGTCTACCTTCCTCTCTACCCTCTTACTACTGCAGCCAGCCCTGTCTCTGATAATGGCTACCATGCACAGGTGGCTTGTGGCCATGATCCTCATGACTGTGAAATACAAAGATTAACATTTGCACGTTTACTTTCATAAACATTGCCTTCTTTAATTCTCCCCACATCCTTATTTCAGATGTTCCCAAAATAGGGGCGTTAGAATTTCTAATTCTGCCAGGAATTCTAATTCTGACAGCTCTGGAGTGGATCAGAGCAGACTGGTGCTGGCAGGTGCCAGGATGGATTCCCAGGGCTAGGTCTTAAATGGATAAGTAACCACCCATAAACACCAGGAGCAAATGTAGAAACGGGTATCAGGAAAGCATGCCTTTGAGAGTGTAGAAAGTCAAAACAATGAAGAGGTAACACCAGTCCTCCAGTGTGAGAGGCAATCCCAGGATAACCATGGGAGACAGAGTCAAAAGGAAGGGAGTTAGGCACATATAGAAAAGAGACTGTGACAAAAAATGGTGTGGAGAGAGGTAAGGTGAACATGACTAGGGCTTCCAAAACTACCTCTTACATGGACTACGTGAGGCATGGGTAGCTCAATACAGTTTAAAATCAGAAGGTCAGACCTGCGTTGCCATCTAATCCTTCGTGCTCCACTGACAAATCAGGATACCAAGCCTCAGAAAGGTTAAATTGCTGTTCAAGTCCACCAACTAGTAAATGTTGGGACCAGGATTCAAATCCAGACTTCAAAACTCAGTTTTTTTCCCACTATTTCATGCCAACTCAGGAAAACATTTACATTAGAGATGTGAACATACTGGAAGAAACCACTCAACCCTCCTCCCTGTCTCTGAATAGTGCTCAGAAATTCTGGTGCTCGTATTTCAGGGCAATCTGCTCACAAGAGCATTGGGGGTTTGGTAAAGGATTCTAAATTTATTATACTGGGCCAATGTCTTGGAAAACTTTAGGAAATGTAAGGTAAGTCATTAAAACAGAAGAAGTAAGCCCTGGTTGAAAGCATAAGAGAAATCAATAAACTCTTGTGCCTTTCTCTACCTGTAATAAAGACATTTCCCTTAAATCTTTAGCCAGAAGGCAAATATTTTGCTATTGGTTTTTATTGCTTCATATTGGACTTTTTTTAACTTAAGTATATACTTATGCTGCCAGAGTTGTGTAATATGAAAACCTGAAGCACCAAACAGCCGCAATTGAAAATACAGCCTCACTTGATTTAGAATAAAAACCAGGAGCTACTGAACCAAATTCAGGGACACTAGTAAGATGGAGCAACCATTATTCTGGAAGTAAGAAGAGCTGGTTCTAGGTCTAGGTCTGCATTGACTCACTATGTCACAGCCAAGTTAATTTATATCTCTGAGCCTCAGTTTTCTCATCTGTACGTTAAACAACTACAAACTAATTTGAGATTCTGTACTAAGAAATCCCAATTAGGGCTGATTCCAATGAGAGTGCTTTAACATCACCTTCTTATCAATGTGCAGAAATAGTTTCCTTCTTTTCCTTTCCCTGGAAGAAAACCTCAGCTCCAAATCAGCCAAAAACTCCCACTGATAATCACGTCTTCTAATGTTCTGATTGTTGAGGGGTGACATTACAATCTCACCTCTTGCTCAGCTGGTCTAGACTGTAGAGTTACAGATGGCGAGGACCACATGCTATGTGTACTTTGGCAGAAGAACCATGTGGGCCTGTGCCAAGCAGAGTTGTTTTCCCAGTGATTCTCAGAAATGAGCAAAACCGGCTGGGCTCAGGGACAGCCAGTCCTCTCCTCGCCTCCCCAGAGACCTGCTTACTGGAATCTCTTTACTAATCTTCTGACTTTAAAATTCTTATCCTCATGAACACATTTCCACCCACGAAATGTGGCTTCCTGAATCGCTGTCTCCTTTTTTAAATTGCATCTCTCCAAGACAGAACTTGAAATTTGGAAATACAAGAGGCTCAGAATAGTCAAACCAATCCTGAGAAATAAGAGCAAAGTTGCAGGACTCACATTTCATGGTTTAAAAATACTTCAAAGCTATAATAAGTAAGACAATGTGGTACTGGCATAAGGATAGAATTTTGGATCAATGGAACAGAACTGAGAGTTCAGAAATGAACATTTGATTTCAACAAGAGTCCCAAGACTATTCAATGGGGAAAGAATAATCTTTTCAACAAATGGTGCTGGGATAACTGTTATCCAATGCAAAAGAATAAAATTGGACTTCTTTCTCACACCTTATAAAATATTAACTCAAAATGGATCATAAAACTAAATGTAAGAGCTGAAATTATAAAACTCCTAGAAGAAAACATAGAGTAAATCTCCATGACTCTGGGTTAGGCAAAACCTTCTTAGATATGACATCAAAAAAGCACCTATGATAAAATAAAAAATAAATTTACTGGACTTCATTAGAATTAAAAACACTTGTGCTTCAAAGAATATCATCATGAAAGGAAAAATGTAATTGGAGAAAATATTTGCAATCATATGTCTGATAAAGTTCTCATATCCAAACTGTATAAGGAACTCTCAGAACTCAACAATAAGAAAACAAATAATCCAATTAATAAGTAAGCAAAGGATCTGCATAGACATTTCAAAAAGTAGATATGTAAATGGCCGATAAGTACATGAAATGATGCTCAACATTATTAGTCATTAGGGAAAAGTAAATCAAAACCACAATGAGATAGCATTTCACACTAAGTAGCATGGCTTTAATAAAAAACAATGGACAATAACAAATGTCAGTGAAGATGTAGAGATATTGGAACCCTCATACGTAGCTGATGTGAATGTAAATGGTGCACCACTTTGAGTAATAGTTTGCAGGCCTCAAAAAATTAAACAGAGTTACCATATGGCCCAGCAATTCCACTCCTAGGTATATACCGAGAAGAATAGAAAACATATGCTCACACAAACCTTGTGTATGAATGTTCATAGCAGCGTTATTCATAATAGCCAAGAAGTAGAAACAACCCAAACATCTGTTAACTGATGAATAGATAAAAAACATGTGGTGTAGGTATACAATGGAACATTGTTCAGCCATAAAATGGAATGAAGTACTGACACGGACTGCAACATGGATGAATCTTGAAAACATTATACTAAGTGAAAGAAGCCAGACACAAAAGGCCATATACTGTGTGATTCCATTTATATGAAATGTCCAATGTAGGCAAATCCATAGAGACAGAAAGAAGATGCCTACAACTGGGGCAGCATAGAGGTGAGGAGAATGGGGAGTGTCTGTTAATGGGTACAGCGTTTATTTCTGAAGTGTTTAAAATGTTCTAAAATTAATTGTGGTGATAGTTGCATAAGTCTGTGAATATACTAAAAACCATTGACTTTAGGCTTTACATAAGTGAATTTATGGTATGTGAATTATATGTCAATAACACTGTTAAAAAGAAAAAGAGTGATTACTAGGTTCTCTAAGATGCATTTGATACTCAAATAGCTGTATCAACAGGTTTTTGAGGAGAAAGGAAGACGCTCACAAACTGCTTAACTTCACAAACACAAGTGTTAAAGTCTCTTTTGTTCATCTGTGTTTCCTAAGTTAAGCGGTGGGATCAATGAAAAAAAAAAAGAATTGTTGATTTATGAATTGCATATTAGCATCTTGGTTAAGTATTTTATCTACCACAAAACTACTTTTTAACTACGTGATTCAGGTCAAACTAATTAATTTCTCTGTGCTTCTATATCCTCATTTGTAAAATGGGTATCATAATTGAACCTGTATCACTTGATTATTATAAATATTGAAAAGTATTTGTAAAGCACTTAAAACAGTGTTCAGCCTATAGTAAGCAGTGTGTAAGCATTTCTTAAAGTATATTTTAAATATTATTGTTACAGTTATTAGTAAAAGCAATAATAATGTGATCAGTGCACTCTCAAAATATTACTTCTAGTATTTCATTTTTAACTGTCTATCAGAATTCCTTTACTATATCATATGGAAGGAGGTGGACCCTGATGTTATTTATTTTGTAATAATTTATTTCATAATTTGTTTCTAAAGCTTGTACTGGCTTTGTAAGTCATGAAATAATTATAAACCTAAATTTTTATTTCGTATTGAAAGCCCAGGACAATTAAGTGAGAGGAATAAGGAAATCCTAAACAGACTCAGCCCTGGTGACACAATGGTTGAGTGCTCTGCTGCTAACCAAAAGTTTGGCAGTTCGAACCCACCCAGTGGCTCCACAAGAGAAAAGACTGACAATCTGCTCCCATAAAGATTTACAGCCTAGGAAATCCCATGGGGCAGTTCTACTCTGTCCCATAGGGTCACTACAAGTCATAACTGACTCGATGGCACACAAAAACAAACAGAGTCAGAGGGGCTGAGTTTGGGCTTCCAAACCACTTTGGATGCCTCACCATGAGCTAGAAAAAGGGTTTTCGTTCCAGTCATTTGTCATGAGTCAAAGCTGTCTAGGAGAGGAATTTCTTTCATATTAACTAAGGTAAATCTTAAAGATTTCTCTACCTCTATTGAACTTTTGAAAATTACTTTGTTTCTAGATTTCATTTTCTGGCAGGAGAGCCCAGAGGAGAAGTCCTTGATAACTCTTTCACTGGAGGAATATGTAAAACTGTCAAAAGCAGTAGAGCAAGTAATCCATACCGTGTCCCGGCCAATCTGGAAGCTGTCAGCTTCGAGGTATGACAGCCTATAATGGAGGCACTCCAGGGCCAGTGGTGACTATAAGCTAAATTTCTGGTGAAAAATTAGTGACAAATGAAGGGACAACATGAAAAGGTAATGAACATTTGTAATCACCTATTATGTGTTGTTGTTAATCCTTTCACAACCCAATGAGGTCAGTGTTATTATCATCAATTTACAGATGAAGAAACTGATGTTAGTATTTTTTCCAAAGTCAAACAGTTAGTAAACAATGGATTAGAGATTCAAGCCCAGGACTCTCTGACTCCAGAGCCCATGCATTCTCTAGTGAACACACAGCTATTTCAGACTTTCCCCACAAAGGTAAATGATTTGATTTATTCAGAATGTTCTCCTATCATAGCTGGTTCTCTTAAGTAATTGTGGAATTTAAAATAAAAAAGTACCTGGCTCCTTAGAAAAATCAGGATGAGTCTAAGGATAATGGGGGAGTTCTGCCCCCATTCCTTTCTATTTCATTTGTTTGTTTCATAAATGATAACGAGCAGCATACTTCATACTTACCAGTGCCTTTCACATGATAAGTGCCCCTTACTTGTTGAACTAAAGTGAACAACCTACTTCTTTTAATTTGTGATAAGGGAAACAGGAAGGATGTGTTTGTGATGGTGACATCCATTAATACCAATTTGACATCAGAGAGAATTTCAGAAGGTCTAATGATTTCTGAGAACCACTTTATGAATAGTCAGAGTTCAGCCAGAAGTCATTTAACTCTTCCTTGAAAAAGTCCTTTATATACATACAGATACAGGCATTCTACAATTTGCTAAACTCAATTTAAAACCATCTAATATACATCTGGAGTCATGGGGTGAAACAAATGGTCAAGCATTTGACTACTAGATGAAAGGTTGACAGTTCCAATCCACCCACAGGTGCCTCAGATGACAGGCCTGGTGATCTGCTTCTGAAAGGTCACAGCATTGAAAACCCATGGAGCAGTTCTACTCTGCACACATGGGGTCTCCATGAGTCAGAATCTACTCAATAGCAACTAACAACAGCAACAACAATATACGTATGATACACATCAGTGGGTGATGGGGAATGTCCAGCTGCCAAATTTATACACCTCGGGGAAGACTTACCTTGAGAACTCCCATCTCTGCCTGGAGGTAGAGGTGAAAGAGCAACAAATGACTTCTGGCCAGGTAAAGAAACTACTCACTATTGCCCCACAGATCCAGAAGATGCTAACCCAAGAGGGGCCACCACCAACAAAGGAGATGGAAGAAGTCTTACTGGTGTCCTGAATAGGAACTCAGAAGACATATTTTTCAAAGAAATAACGTCAAAAATTCTAGAGGCAGGGCCAAGATGGCAGATTAGTCAGATGCTCCGGTGGACCATCTTACAACAAAGACCCAAAAAAACAAGTGAATCAATTATATATGATGGTCTAGGAGCCCTGAACATCTAAGGCAAAGTTGAGGAACCAGACTGAGTGTCATGGGGAGGGAGAGATAGTTTGGAAGCAGCAAGGACTTGCCAGACCTGACCTGGTGAGATCCTGATCCCTTTAGGCCTGATCAGCTCATGGATGAGCAGTGAGGCAGGCAAGCAGTGGTGTTTAGGTGGTATGTTTTCCACACGGGGAGAGACCTAGTGGCAGAGAGTCTACTTGGTCACCCAGAACCAGTGAGAAGCAGCCCTCGATCAGAGAAAGATAAGTACTTGTGTATGGCCTACCATGCAGATCAAAAACACCCCCCTTAGGGAAAAAGCTCTATCCCATTTACCTCCCCGTTCCCTACTCTGCACTGGGTCCTGGACCGGCTTCAGCAATTGCCGAGTCCTCTGGGCCGGAACTAGGATCTGTCACATGCCCGGAGCCATTCTCTCAGCCTTGGAGAGTGAACAAATTAACAGGGGAAAAAATAAACTGCCAGCTCCCCTAAGCCAGGAAACCAGGGTAGGCACAGCTCATTTGCCTAGGCACAGGCATAAGGGATACACCGATTTGAGTGCCTTTCCCCCTGTATAGACTTGTGTGGGCCCATTTCAACAGCATAGGCTTTCATTACTGCAGAACAACAGGGTATATACTGAAGTCTAACTTCAACTGTTTCAGCTGTGAAGTGGCAGATTCCTGCATTTCACGCTACTCTGCCCATTAAGCAGGGTCTTCACCTACCCACATCAGGAGCCTAAGGACTGGTGGCTCCACACATGCCACCTAGCCACCTGCAATACGGGGCCCAGAAGAAGATGTGCCCCCCCGTCCTTACAGCCAACAGCATTGGGTGCTCATAGTCTGGCTGCAAAACCCACCCACCCACGCTCTAGGGAACAGGGACACATCTTCCTCCTGGACACTCAGAGGTGGCTGTCAGTCCCTTGCCTTGCTCAGAGTGTTTCCCCCTGCTGCAGCCAAATGCCTGTGTCTGCACCAATCACCCATGCCTGTCTAGGACTACAGATGAGACCCTACACCACATACCTAGTGGCTATCTACCTGGGCACCTGAGCTGAATCCATACAGGAGGAGTGGGTAGACTCCTGAGCTCACATACCTAGTAACAGATCTAACCACCTGGTGACAGGACATTAGAGCTTCAAAGGTGCCAGTAATCAAACTAGCTCACATGAGCAGCCTATTTAGGCATATCAAAACAAAACAAGAAGCTAGGACACAGTAAGCAAACGTAAAATAAATATTTATGAGTTGGAGACAACAGTCAATATCAAATCACATAAAGAGGCAATCCATGATGGATTCAGCAAGCTCCCAAAATAAAGAATCTAAATATTTTCCAGAGGAGGAAAATTTCTTGGAATTACCGAGGCAGAATACAAAAGATTAATGTACAGAACTCTTCAAGAAATTAGGAAGGAAATTAAGCCCAATGTAGAACACACAATAGAGGAAATTAAAAAGATTAGAGAAGAGCATAATGACAAATTTAACAGGCTGCAAGAATCCATAGAGAGACAGCAATCAGAAATCCAGAAGATTAACATAAAATTTCAGAATTAGACAATTCAATAGAAAGTCATAGGAGCAGAACTGAGCCCATGGAAGTCAGAATTAGTGAGATTGAAGATAAACCACTTGACACCAATTATTTGAGGAAAAATCAAATAAAAGGATTTAAAAAAATGAAGAAACCTTAAGAATTATGTGGGACTCTATCAAAAGGAATAACCTACAAGTGATTGGAGTACCAGAATGGGGGCAGTGGGGATAACAGAAAATACAGAGAGAATTGTTAAAGATTTGTTGGCAGAAAACTTCCCTGATATAGTGAAAGATGACAAGACATCTATCCAAAATGCTCACCAAACCCCACATGAGGTAGACCCCTAAAGAAAGTCACCAAGACATATTATAATCAAACTTGCCAAAACCAAAGATAAAGAGAGAATTTTAAGAGCAGCTAGGGATAAATGGAAAGTCATCTGCAAAGGAGAGTCAATAAGACTAAGCTTGGACTACTCAGCAGAAACCATGCAGGCAAGAAGGCAATGGGATGACATATATAAAGCCCTGAAAGAAAAAAACTGCCAGCCAAGAATTATATATCCAGCAAAACTGTCTCTCAAATATGATGGCAAAATTAGGGCATTTCCAGATATAAACAGAAGTTTAGGGAATTTGCAAAAACCAAACCAAAATTACAAGAAATACTAAAGGGAGTCCTCTGGTTAGAAAACCACTAACATCAGATAACAACCCAAGACTAGAATACAGTATAGGGCAACCAGACGTCATCAGAGATAGGAAAGTCACAAAAGTAAATCAAAGCTAAAACACTGAAAATAGGGAAACACAGATGTCAATATGTAAAAGACAACAACATTAAAAAAAATAGAGTGACTAAAAAATGCAGACATAGATTTTTCATATGGAGAGGAAGTCAAGGCAATATAAAGAAATAAAAGACTGGTATAAACTTAGAAAAATAGCGGTAAATATTAAGGTAACCACAAATGAAAGTAACAATCCTACACATTGAAATAAAAAACAAGAAAAACATAAAGACTCAGCAACACAAAATCAACAAAAATTAAAAAGATAAAAAGAAAATACATAAAGAAAAATGACTCAGCACAGAAAATTAAGTGGAACAAAGAAACTATGAACAACACACAAAAAAAGACATCAAAATGACAGCACTAAACTCATACCTATCAATAATTACACTGAATGCAAGTAGACAAAATGCAGCAATAAAGAGACAGAGTGGCAGATTGGGTAAAAAAACACTATCTATATATATGCTTCCTACAAGAGACATACCTTAGACATAAAGACAGAAACAAACTAAAACTCAAAGGATGGAAAAAAATATATCAAGCAAGCAACACTCAAAAAAGAGCAGGACTGACATTATTAATCTCTGACAAAACAGACTTTAAAGTAAAATCCACCACAAAGGATAAGGAAGGACACTATATAATGATTAAAGGGTCAGTACACCAGGAGGACATAACTATAATAAATATTTATGCACCCAACAATAGGGCTCCAAAATACATAAACTCTAACAGCACTGAAAAGAGAGATAGATAGCTTCACAGTAGTAGTAGGAGACTTTGACACACCACTTTTGGTGAAGGACAGAACATCCAGAAAGAAGCTCAACAAAGACACGGAAGAGCTAAATGCTACGATCAACCAACTTGATCTCATACACATATACCGAACACTCAACCCAACAGCAGCCAAGTATACTTTCTTTTCCAACACACATGGAACATTCTCCAGAAAAGACCACATATTAGACCATAAAGCAAGCCTTAACAAAATCCAAAGCATCAAAATATTACAAAGCATCTTTTCTGACCATAAAGCCATAAAAGTAGAAATCAATAACAGAAAAAAACAAGAAAAAAATCAAACACATAGAAATTGAACAATACCTTGTTCAAAAACTACTGAGTTATAGAAGAAATTAAGGACAGAATAAAGAAATTCATAGAATTAAACGAGAATGAAAACACATCCTACCAGAACCTTTGGGACACAG